GAGTCCCCTCACCTCATCAGGTGGTGCAAACATTTACACCACAAAACTGTAAAATCTTGATTTAGTAACCCTTTTCTTTTAAGAACGCAAAGTCTTAATTCATAATCAGTTATAAATCAGTAAGTGGAGCCAGAGCTAAAAGTGTGACTCAACACCTGCGTGCTTTAATATTTCTCTAGGCGGTCCAATTTATGCAATAACACCATTAAGCAAACACCAACTATGAATGCAGAGCCACTCTGAGAACTGTTAGTGAGGTGCCTCGGGATCACAATGGTTCTTGTTTCAGCGTTTTGTGCTGCTCATTCATCCTGGACTGCATACCAGGCTGTTTCCCAAGCTCGTGCTCTGAATACTGAATAGCTGCAGCATAATGTAGAATGAATGCATTATCTGACCTACCACAACAGCATTCCCCCCCCCAAAGATCTATTATCTTATCTATTGTGCAGAGTCCAAACTTTATTTGTTAGTTAACGTGTCGTTGCTATTAGAGTGATATTTCTGTATTAGCTGACATTGAACTTTTATGAAGATAGTTTCCTAATAATGTAGCCTGACGTGCACTTTGTCTGGTCTTACATTTATCAGGAGCTATACAACATTATTGGCTTTTTTATGTGAACGGAAAGGTCAAAACTGCATTCCTTTCTAGGCAAATAATTTGTTTTTCTCTAGATTTGCTATCAGCAAATTATCTTGTGTAATGTGGCCCGTGAGAAAAAACTCCCCAAGATGCTTTTGACAGACGTGCGCACACAGAAAACACACAAACATGTGACAAAGACGACTGCAGGCAAAGAGGAAAAGGAGTGGGAGGATGTGATGGGACGATCTTTCCGTAGCTTTTCCATCTTTTTGCTTACATGAGGTCACCCTACGATCGGGCTTAACAATTGATGTGAGCATAAGTTCCAGTGATGATATCATCCCATAGTCCACGACAGACAAACAATAAATGTGAAATACAAATATGTGATAGAACTGAAAGTGTGTTTTATTTTGACAGCCTATTTATATTAGCTCTATTCTATAAAAACAGAGCCACAAACACAATAACTGATATATACAAAAGTAATAAGTGACAGAATCCGGTGCAATGATAATAATACACTCAGAAGTATACACATTTTAAAGTACATACTCGACGGACAGTTCAGTGAGTCACAGTTGGCTCCATGTTAAAAGTTTCTACACCTGCTGAGCTGCAGCCATGGCAGCTAATCGCTCCTGTTTCTCCTGCTCAGCCTTTTCCCTCATCTCCTTCTCTCTCTGGATCAGCTGCCTCTTCTCGGCCTCCCAGGCCTGCACCCGGCTCTCATACTGCTCGAGGTCCGGTGTCTCGGCAGCAGCCAGGGTCTGCTGGGCCAGAGCGGTCACTAAATCCTGGAAAGAGGTTGACTCCACTTTATCCTGAGATTCCAGCTGGCTGCTCAATTCCTGGAGAGGCAGGGCAACAAAAAAAAAGTTGAACGCACAAAGGAATGATCTCATCACTTCATTTAAATGACTTGGGTGAAACCCTGTGACCCAGAAAAGTCACTTCCAATATGTGACGCACACAGAGAATCATGCTGCACAGAAAATCAGTCAAGATATGATGCATTCAAGAACACCGGACTTTCCAATAATTCCAGTGTTTATTATCTTAGCTTCGTGGTCTGAAATATCCCTTAAATCTATGACCAAATGTAGTTTGTTTTTTTATGGTGCGCAAATGTCAAATAAACAGTTGCAGCTATTTTGTTCCAAATTTTCATCCAACAAACATTTTGGCCATGAGTGGAAATCCCCCTCTGGATGCAGCCACACACAAGCCTATAGGGAGCATGTGGCCAGTCAGCCAGTGAAATTTATCTTTACCCTGTGGCAATAATGCCATATGTATTGAGATCAATCAAAGTTTCTCTGTAAACCTACCTACTTTTATTCAGAAGGTTAATCATTTATGATTGTGGTATAAGTGCATATCCATTTGCATCATTACTACACAACAATAATTTGACATCTATGAGTTTAAAATGAATAGAAAATAAAGACTGATAAATTAAACCTGGTTTTATGTGGATACATACAGCGCATGTCAGGATGCATAGTGCAGAAAATGAAATGTACTCTTTCAATAATGATTCAAATTCAGCTATTTGATAAAAACTAAACTGGCAGGTGCAGATATTTCATGTATCCAATAGTAATTATGTGTGTGCACATATTCTACAGCATTTGATATATTTGATGTACTGAAAGTCAAAGTACAAACATCTGGATTTGCTAAAAAGAAGCTCTGACCACCACTTTACAGCAAACTGGACTCTGTTTTCTTTGTTCCCCTGTAGGTGCACCAGGAAGCATTATAAACCCTGATGCACGCAACTGATAAAATCCACATCCCAGCTAAGGCTTTTACACTGGTCCACTGCTCTACAGGTGGTAGTTATGTTTCAGGAACGTTAATGGATCTACAAAGCCAGGAAAGAAGAAGAAGAATGCCAGCTGGAAAAATTTGGAAGAAAATGTTCTATGAGGAAGGAAATGTTTTCAGCATGGTCTCAAGAACATGCCCACTACACCTTAATGAGCAACGACAAATGCAAACAGAAGCTTTGCTTTAATTTAAAGAGAAAAAAATATATATAAATTATCGTTTAGAGAATCAACAACGTAACTACCAATGTAAGAATCCCTAATTAACAGTCCACTTATTCAAAAATAAGTGGAAAATAATAATTTTATTAATTTATTTTACTATCAGTTCAGTGGTAATACAAGACAGTAGGCAGAATGGAGAAAAGCACTTCTGACAGTCAAAAAAAACATCTTATGCTGTTTGCAAAGGGGGAAACTTTTTAAACTAGAGCGCAGTTGGAAAGCGTATCCTATAACCCAACAGGGTATTTTGCATTTTTGGAAAACAAAATGATTTGGATCCACATCAAATTTTTAATGGGTCTTTCCTTTGTCTAGGCTACACCTTTCCATCAGGTTTCAGCTTGGTGGTTGTTGTGTAATCTTGCTGAAAGATGGACAAATGGGAGGGAAAACATACTTCCACCCCACCTCTTGCCTTAGAATTATATTTTAATCTGTCCCTTAAAAAAACCAAAGCATGCTGCTCACAGCAGCTTGACTTCTAAGTTATAACCTCATTTTTACCAGCATGCTCCTATAATTACATTTTAATGCAAATTTGAGCTGTAAGTACAAACAAAGACCCACCTTGAATTTCTTGACATACTCAGGTAGCTTAGCAGCTTCGGCCTGATCGTCTTCATCTACAGTGTTTTCTTTCTTGTCCTCTTCACCTCCTGACTCTTCTCCAGAAGAGTCTGACTCTGAGGTCAAAGGCAGGTCATGGAACAAGTCATTCACATACCCCAGCTGAAAAATAATCACAAAAATTAATGTTATTTGTGTAGAAACATTTTGTAATGAAGCATGTTCTGAAACAACTTTTCTGGTCTTTTTGCTGAAAATTACATTATGCAAGTAAAGTCTCTTACTGGAATGAAAACAGGCCAGACATTTAATGACGCAGGGTTATACACCTTACTTGACAAGTCACCTCTTAATCTTAGGAAGAAGTAAGATTAACTGTGACCTGAGGCAGCAGCACCTTCATTGAGATGTAATACTTCCTCTCTGTCCTATGGCGTTATCTTCTCTGTCTACGTTATTGCTGTGCTGCTGTGTGACGCAGGCTGTTCACTTTCTGTTGCAGTGATTGTCAAAGACATCCTCAGAGCTCCAGGCTCTTCAAAATCTCATTAGATGCAGACAAAGCTGAACTATTGAACTGGACAGCAGAGAGCGGATTAGAGATGCTACAGCCTGCGCATATATGTAAAAATTGCAAAATCATGACAGCGTGTGTGTCACACAATGCTGTCTGTGCCAAGCAGCCTGCCTGGAAAGTAATAAGCAGCCTGTGGACTATTTGCAATGCTGCACGCAGTTTAATCCATGCTCATTTTACAACAGCAAACTAACACGTTAAGAAATACATCCGTTTGACATCAAACCCACAGTTAGGGGGCTGATATCAGGTGCCCAAATGAGAACAAAGAGCAATGCTGTCTGGTACGGCTCAGATAGGTGTTTGTTATGAACTATATAACAGACTCACACATGGGACATAATCAGGGATATCTGGGGTTGCAATGTTCAATGTTTTTGCTCTCTCATTACTGATTTTGATATTTAAATATGTTTGCAAATTGTGCATTACCCTGAGACGCTTAATGAGGTGAGTGCTGGCCCAGACACCAATTCAGGGATCGATACAACTTTGACATAAAAAGAAGAGTGTCCCCAGATGACATTATCAGCATGGACTTAGCTTATTTTTGAAGGTGTGAGAAACCAGAACTCCCAGAGAAAAACAATAAAAACACCACACCCTCTGCTCCCAATTTCTATGGGGGCCAGAAAGGCGCCAATAATTAATTTAGATGTGCTGAACTAAACTGCACAGGCCCTATTAATACCCAATTAAATTGTGAAATCAACTGTATAAATGAAGAAGATCTTTAAAATAAAGAAGTTGCACCATGTCAATACTGCAGGAAAGCGTCTCTAGTCTGAGGACATACTTATGTAAGACAGGATACGTACAAAGGTTAGGCAACTGAACAACTAAATCAGTTGTCATCAACTCATCAAGTCCATTTCAGTTCCTTTTTTGGGCCTTGTGCTCAAAGGAAATAGCATTTGG